TGTAAAGAAAATTGCATTTCTTCTGATATAATATCTGGTGATCGAAACAGTATGTACATGTACATATCCAACCTTGACATATTAGAATGACTATGTCAGCATCATAAATTTAGCAGAACAGAAACCATATTGATACAGAATCATGCAAGTGTATCATGAAAAATGATGCAAGGTCAAGTTATTTTATTCTTTTTCTTTGGAATGTTCTAAAAGATTTTCCCTTGTGTTCATTGTAAAACTTATACCTAAAGTGGCCAAAATCAAAATGTGGGAAGCATGCTTTGTACAATTTGAATTTCCACTACAAAGGGGTGTTTTCCTTATGATAAAGTTGAATGGCTCTTGCTTTTTTAGAGGAATTCTTTTATAGAAAAACACGAGAAAAGAGTTTTATCAGAATAAGCTTTCAAAAATGTGAACAAACATATTTTGCAGTATACTTTTAGGCAGAGTTTGATACCGCATGCTTTTTGAAGATGTCAATTATGAAGATGTCCTTAAGCTTAAGACCTGATGTCTTAAATGTATGATAAATATATTTGGTAAATCAAATATTACACGAAGCATTTCAAAGACAGCAATGTTTAATATCGGATTTCTTATTTTTAGGGGGGTAAATTATTAATTGAGATCACTTTTCCTTTTAGGCCATAGAAAATATAAGTACCTGTTAAGAAACATTTGTCTTCTAGAATTTCAAAGATGTCCTCATGTACCACTAAGCCAATGGTAGATTAAACCCGTTTTAATTCCTCAAGAGATCTCTCCTGTAGTCGTTTTAGCAGGGTAGGTTTTCCAGCACCAGCACAACCAACAATCATAGCACGGGCCCTGTGGATCGTTTGTGTCCCTTTCTTTGCACATTTAACATATCTGCACCTTGCACAATGGAATATTTACTAAAAAGGAATATGAAATAGATCAAAAACTCTACGGACATATTCACCAATGGTTTAGACATCACTGCTGTCATCATAGTAAAAAGATGAATACAATGGAAATGGTTTCCAAGGAATTTATCGGTAACCATCGTCATTAAGATGTATGCTCATAATAATGACAAAGAAGCAGATATTTTTGTTTTTTGTTTTTTTTTAATTTGAAATGAACTTTGTTGTAAAACCAATAGATTAGCATTTTACATTAGCATTTCTTTTCTTAAAAACTTCCAAAATCAAAATCAAAATGAAATTTCAAGTTCAAAATGTTAAGAAGCTCAATTTAAGATGAACAAAAATTGCCTTGCAGTTAAAACCTAGCTCTATTCAAGATTCGTTTTGGATTAACTTCAAAAGATAGCAAGATACAAAAACCACAACATTACTGTCTTTTTGCCTTCCTTTCATGGAAATGATTTGTTTGATACCTCGTGGTATGAATCATTTTCCATATAAAGACTTAAATATTCTTTTTATGCTTATGTTTAATTAATTTTTGTTTCATATTGACCTTCAGTATTTTACATACATATAAGTAACAAGAATTTACATGACATTTTAATTAAAATTTACAAAGAAAGAAGCCCTCATAGTCTAAAAAATTGAAATTCAATTAATTTTTTTTTACATAGCATACATATATTATCATCCTTCAAACGAAGGTAATATTTTTTTTCATTAATGTGTAACTTATTATTCTTTTGCAAAAAGAATTTCTTAATTCTTTCACTGAAGTACATCTTAAATAGTTTCAGGGAAGTGACTTAAGTAAAATTGAAACGAATAATTGTCAAATGAAGCGAATTACAAGAAAATACCATACAAAAATAGTTATCAACTTCACACAGAAATACAAAGATTGTTCCCATGTTCTAAACTGGTTATATTTGTTGTGTCTGTAATGGAAAACAAGTGAAAACTTTTCCAACACTAATTTGTCCAATGTATTTCAAACAGTAGAAGAGATTATGCAACGCCATGGGCATCGAATTGAAATCGAATCATAAGGATACTTAAAAAACACATAACCTGACGTTAACCTTGTCAGAAAAGACATTCTATATCCAGCTTTTACAATATCAGTCCCCTGGCTATTAAATAAGGTTTAAGGTTAGGATGTAAAGCAAAGAAGGGGAACTAAAAAAGATTATTTTTTTGAAAGAGGGACCATATTCAAATATGTCAACTAGATATTTACATTGATTTATGACAAAAAACTTACAAGTGTCACAAACAGTGTCTTTCAACTCTTCATCATTTAATGTGACGTGTCTTACTATGTCTATTCAAATTGTACTGATTAATGTTTTCTCCATCCTACTCGATAAGAACATACATCTTTCTCTTATCCTGTCTACATACTTTAACGTTCGGACGTAATCAAACAACGAGTTAAAGGACGAGAGTTGGATGTAATTGTTATAGTCTTCATCGGTTTTAAACAGTTCAGAACAAAATATCCCATCACCTGATGACGAATATCCTCTGATATAAACTCTAGTTTCCCTGTCTCTTCATTCACTCTCAGTATTTTATCATTGTTCATTAATTCTTGTACAAGCAAGGTAATATCACACACTCCATCATCTGAGTCATTCAGTGTTATGAAGGTCTGTTGTATCTGTTCGACTTTCTGTTCAAATAGTTTCAAGTCATATAAAATGCTATACTTCTCTGACAGCAAAAGGAGTATAAGTGTACTCCATTTTACTTGATGAAAACCAATTTCAAAGATTCTGAAAGTAAATATGTGTACTTAAAAACTAATTTAAACAATAAACGCCAATAAATATGTATTTCTTTCATATTTCAAAAAGCTGTTAAATATATCACAATATTATTTTGAAAGTAATATGGTAACTCTAACAACGATTATCCTTAATAAATAAAATGCTATGTAAAATATATTTTTGTTAACCTTCCTCATATCCGAAGATAGTGTATGCTGAGAAATATCTTTCCATTTCTGTATCACAGACTCCACTAGACCAATCAGTAGGATGTATGTTTCTCCGGCTACACTGGTTCTTATAAAATTGGACAAAGTCTTCAGATTCATTAAACATTCGCTTAGGCACTAATTTGACACCTTTGGCTGCGTAATACGGAAAAGAAATAACATTTTATCTTTGATTATTACCATTATTCACCCGTAGCAAAAGAAAGAAAAGAAAGTAAGGGGAAAATGAATCTGTATTTTAAAACCAAAAGAGACCTAGGGACCTAGGGGCCACATAATCTACTAAAATGATTCAAGTCCTGCTGATTTTGTTAATATTTTTGTAGGTTTCTTATTCCTTTATTTCCTTCCTGTACATGTATTCCCATACTGCCCCCCAACAACTCTACCTCCGTGGAATTGTAAACTTTACATACTTGCAACATGGGATTATTTAAACAATTGTATGTTATATATTAACACGGCTTTCTGTTATGGAACATGAAGTTTTGTTTAACTGTACACCAGCATCAAGTAAAATTTGCATTCCGATTTTAGCCATTACAGTGCTGCTATCCTATAAGTTGACAATTCTATCCTATCCTATCGTGAATCCTGCATCCACAATCCTATCCTGTGGTTTCAGTCTAATCCTATCCTATCCTATCCTGCAACTCTCAGTTTTTTAATATTTAGGAATTAATTTGACAAAACGAAAAAAAAGGAATTACCAGGAAAAAAATCAGACATAGTTATGGTATCCATTTAAGTGTTATAAATTTTAATGGAAAAAAAAATAATCGAGATCGGCATTCCATAATTCCCGACTCGCCGCACAAATTAAATTTACGATTATCATTGCCATGTTAAAAATAAATGTTAACAAACAGGTCGTAATTACACGTGGACAAGTACTAATTTTGCGAACATATGTAAAGAAATTGGGCTACCAGAAAAATTAAAGAAAAAAAAATACTTAGTGTCTTAACCCTTGCTCTGCTGCACGCACTTATTTGTGCGTACTATGACGTCAGTCCTGTCCTGCGGAGCGCACATATATATGCGTTCAAGGAAAAAATCCAAGTCTTAAAACTCAAAATCGTGATAAATTCCAGAGAGGGGTTGACCCTTTCTAAAAAAACACATAGAATATCGTAAAATTACAAGATTTACAATTATTTTAATTAAATCACCCGTATCTGTGTGTTTTTAAGTATGCTTAGTGATTTTATTGTATGATTCTTTACGGAGCTTTTATTTTGCGTCGCCATTAACGTGAACACGTGAAAGCGAGAGTACAATGTATAATGTACTGCTGCTTCGTTTTTACAGCAACAAAACAAATTACTTTTATTACATATTTATCTTATTGTAAAAATGCTGAATTTAGCAATATTAACTTTTCTATTATGTTTTTCAAGAAGAGAAAAGTCATTTTTCCACAATATCCGGTTTCCTGATTGATGTATGGGGAAAACGCCTATAATTATAGAGGGGGAATTCCAATTCTTTAAATATTTTCCAATCGGTAACTTTAAAAAGTTCAATTAAAAATAATTTTTATTAATATCCTTCTATATGGACCTTTTCTTTTATTTATAAACTTATTTTTTTTTTTTATAATTCAACATTAGATTTCATTAACCTGTGACATTCATTTTTTTGGAGGCAAAATTTGTAAATGATATAAGCGCACAAGTAAGTCAAGATGGCGCTGACTGCACATGTTTTTTGATCGCTTCTTTATTGTCTTTAATCGTGAATTTACGCAAGTAGTTTCAAGGACTTAACGAGTTAAGGTATTTACTGTATCTTAAAATACACATTATGTGTTTCCTTTCATTTTTTAAGGCTAGTTTTAGTTTTAAAAGGCTAGGTTTATGTCTTATCGGCACGGGAAGTTAGATGTGACGAAGCAATCAGCTGTTTTTATCGTTTGGAATGTACATAGAATATATCTTAAAATTTCAATTTTAATGAATTAAAGTGTCCAACCTAAAACGTTTTTTAGTGTGTTCTTTATACATAGAAAGTATTCGGAGGGGATTATTTATTTGTTTCCTGTGAAATATAGATATAATTCATGATCAATATTACCATGATAAATGTAAACAAGACTGGCGATGGCCGAACGTGTGAATATTATTGAAGAATTATTAGCAGACAGTGAAAGTGAGGGGGAAGAAAATTTTGAAGGGTTTAATTTAGAGGATTTGGAAGATTCTAAATGTGTAGATGAATCAAATTATGATGTTCTGAACGATGAATTATGGAGTGATGGTGATCGAGTTCCTTTTCCTTTAAACTTTGAACAGGTACCTGGTTTACAAAATGAAATCTCAAACACTGACTCTCCACTGGAATTTTTTGAACTATTTGTAGATGACAATGACTATGAAAATATTTCACAGGAAACAAATAAATATGCAAATCAGTTTCTAAACAGTGGCATGCCACTTAAGGAGAAATCACGCTTTCATAAATGGATAGACACCACAGGTCTAGAGTTTAAAAAATTTCTGGCGCTTATTATAGCCATGGGACTTGTCTGTCAGATAGATGTATCGGAATACTGGACAGTAAATCCAGTAACAAGTACTCCATTCTTTCCCAGCGTCATGTCACGAGACAGGTTCCTGCTCATACTAGCATTCCTTCACTTAAATGATGATGCAAATTATATCCCACGTGGATCCGAAGGCTTCAACCCACTATTCAAGCTTGGTTCCTTCTACAACAAAGTACTTTCCAGGTTTCGTTCAGTGTATTAGCCTCATCAAGCACTGGCTAACGATGAAAGCATAATAGCATGGCGAGGGAATTTATCCTTCAGGGTGTACAGTCCCGATAAACCTGTGAAGTATGGTCTGAAAGCATACATGTTATGTGATGCTGATAATGCATTTTGTTTGAAGTTCCTACTATACACTGGAAGGTCCAATATCCAACCTTCAAAAAATGGTGCCACATATGACCTTGTCATGGATCTTCTTCGCAATCATTTTGAGAAAGGTCACATCCTTTATTGCGACAACTATTACAGTTCCCCTCAGTTGTTTATGGATCTCTGGGTTTTGGGTACAGGAGCTACAGGTACAGTGCGCCCTTACAGGAAAGGCATTCCTGAGAAAATGAAAAAGATTCAGCTTACAAACCGAGGAGACACGGCAACCGCTCACTATGGTCCCTTAAGTTGCCTTAAATACCAAGATTCCAAGACAGTGTACCTTATTAGCACTACAGAGTCTTCGACCAACGTTGAAACGGGTCACCATTGCTTTATTCAAAATCAAATAAAAGTAAGGCCCTCTATGGTGCAAACCTATGACAAAAAGATGGGTGCAGTAGATAGACACAATCAGATGATTGAAAATTACAAATTGCCGATCAAAACCTTGAAGTGGTGGAAGAAACTTTTCTTTCATATTATGAATGTTGCAATTGTCAATTCATACATCTTGTACAAAGAATCCTGCAAAGCTGCAACCCCAATGCTTCAGCGCAACTTTAGAAGAAAGCTGGTGGAACAACTTATCCAGACATCTGGAGCAACCATTGGGGTACATGTTGGACGGCCTGCTCCCAGGATCCTTGAGCGATTAACAGGAAGGCACTTCCTTGCTAGACTGGAGGAGGGAGGGAAGATGCTCCTCAGACAGTGCATTGTGTGTGGACCTGCTGAAAAGGAAATGCTCCCATCAATGCGGCCTGGTGAGAAACGGCCCAGCAGATGTGGTCACACGACCAGCTACAAATGCAAAGAATGTAATGTTGCACTTTGCTTAACACCATGTTTTGAAATATATCATACGAAGCTGGAGTACGTTTTAGCATACAAACGAATGAAATTAAGTTCTGAGGATTGATTTGATTGACGGTTTGAATGATGAATTATAATGTAAAAATAATATGAGCAGAATTTTTGTGTCCGATTTCTTATTGCAAAATTATGATTTATAACCAATGACAGAAAAAATATAGTTTATCAAATTCTTGTTATTCGATATCTTTATGAAAAAAAAATATCAAAAGCTTTGATAAAGCATAATGAAATAATTGTCATCCTGTACAAAAATTACAGCTCATACCACTGAAAAGAACATATTATCTGACAATATGATCGAGCATTGATGATTCTGAAATGCTGGTATATTGCATACATGTAATAAGCAAAAAGCATTAAGATTATGAGATACAAATTCATATTGAAAAATAATTTGGAATGAACATGCTTATGCTACGTTTACACTATGTTCCCGGCAGCCACGGCAATCACGTTTCAGGCCACCGTGGAAAAAACGGGACGGGCGTGAGAAAACTTGGGGGCAACGGGATGGGCAAACGTAACTCATCGCGATTGCCGTGGATGCCGTGCCAGATTTTTAAACTGTCAAAAAATTTGCCACGGCGGCCACGTTGCAGATGTGAAACTTGGTAGGTCGTAGTAAAACGGAATAAACGCAACAAAACGCGACAGCACGTAATAGACCGTAACAGAACTTGGAGGCAGTCCGCATTGGGACGGGAGAATGTATATTTCCATTCATCTCACGGTCCATTCAGGTTTTGAGACGTTTTGCTGAGTTTAGTCCGCGTTCTGTCACGGCAAGTTCACGGTTGTTGTCCGTTTTATCACGTTCTGCCACGTTTCATCACGGTCCTCACGGCAAACTAGGGTGTATGGTTGCCGTTTCCTCGCGTTCAATCGCGATTCGTCCCGGCATGTTACGGTTTATGGTCCCGGTGCGTTGCGTTCTACTACGGTCTGACACGGCGCACGCGGTCTGCTGGGAAGCATATAAATGCCGGGCACTGCAGAGAAGTTCCATTCTGGATCCATATGGATCTCCGCCTTCTCATCTGTCTTATTCATCTCATTCCTAGTTGCTGCACTCCTGCCTTCCCTCTCTGTAACTGATGCTGGTTCTCTTCATTTTGACGAAGTGAATTTAGGTATGCACCCAGCAAACACGCGAAAATAAAATCTTCGTCTTGGGAATTCATGATGTTTTATCTTTGAAGGGTTATGATGCTATGATTGTTTCTGGTTAGGAGACCTTTTCTGGTACAAACGTGGTCCATAGTTTCCCGGCGTGCATGTTTCATACGTAGAAAGACTTGACAGAACGTGAGAAACGTATAAGAACTTCATAAGAACGCGAGAATCGAGAGGGGACCTATCAGAACGTAAGAGGCCTGGGGGAAACGTGCTGACATACGTGGCAGAACCGTAGTGTGCCGTGCAGCCTCCGGCACTCCACGGCATCTTCTTCCTACGGCCCATCACGGATTCCGTAGAAGACCGTAGAAGACCGCAAAAGAACTTGTCAAGACTTGGATATAGATGGAAAAATAACCAAAATCTCACGGCGCACTACGTTTCGGGCAAAAGGGGCTACCGTGGCTGCCGGGAACATGATGTAAACGTAGCATTAGCTAAAGCATTAGATAATAATTGTACCATAGCTTACAATTACATCCATTTTCAATTTTCAACATAATAGTGAAAAAGATTTTACAGTCACAGGGTAAAATGTTTATTATTCTTTTTTAATGACAATATTTGCCAATGTTATCTAGTTTTGCAACTGAAAACCACCTGTTGATTTTTATCCAATGAATGTTCCATTCTTTTGTCAAGTTTAGATTTATTTGCATGTATGCAAAAATGTCAAAAGCTCATGTTATGAAGTTTGTATTTTTAATTTCAAAAATAAATTTTCTTCTCTTTAGAACGGACAGTGTAATACGTATCATTTCTATAAATTCTGCAGAGGAATGCATTGGATTTAGTGTCAACTCCCACAAACTAATATAACACTGATTGTGTCTATCCGTCACACTTTCTTGTCCACTCCATAAAACTGTGGAGGCACATACTTACCCGAGGGTGTGTTATGACCTTGATTTAAGGTCATTTAACCAAGATCATTAACAACAACATAGTATGGTTAGTCTGTGAACTTTGGAGGCTCTGACTTGGCACAAAGGTTGCTAACCTGCAGATGTCTCATGACCCTGACCCATGGTTAGTTAAATCAAGGTCAAGGTCACATTTTTAACATTGTTTTTATCCAAAAACTGGGTATCAGACCTTTTAGGACAGCTGAAGTTTTGTTTGTTTTTTTCTGTTATGTAGTATTTGGGGATAAATAATTAAGATTTAGAAAGTCTGCTTTTGCAAGCAATAGGGTATAACGCCTCGAACTGGACAAGACTTTCATTTTTTCTTCACTAAAACAATACCCATTAGCTAAGCTTGGACAACCATCAACTCGTATCAGTCTTTTCAGTACTTTGATTCAAAAAACAAAGTTTAAGAATACTCACTTTTCCCCTGTTTCCATGGAAACTATTGACAATTTGCAATTTCTAAATCCAATGAGTACAATTACAGTTACTAATCATTGCATAAATAAAATTTCATGAAGTGTTCAAGGGACAAGAGAGAACACTCGAGGACAAAATTCGTCACTTTTTTTCAGGTTTCCATGGCAACAGTAGCATTTTGAAACTGAATGACCACACAACACAACTACAACCAGTGATCTGCCTTTGAGGAAATTTTCAGGAAGATTGTCCCAGCCATTTTCGAGAAACAGCCTGGAGAACAAAAACGTGTACAATCACAATATGTCGCCCGACTTCGTTCCAGGCGATATAATAAATAGATATGACCTTGAAGTTTAATGCATTTTTACCATTTTTGAAATGACCTTGACCATGAAATTTTCATGAAAATTTCTCAGGTTAGCAATATGCTCATTTTCATAACTTGGTACATTATTTTTAAGCTCAAATTACATAATTATTGAAAAACAAAGAAATAATCATGCTTTTCAGGATAATGACCTTTAAACAGTGGTTGCCATGGCAACATCCTATCACTAATTAATATACATGATAATATTTTGATAAAAAACTAAATGATATCTATGTGCTTGGAAAATTATATCATTGTAACTTAAAAAATTAACATTTTATATAAGTTTAAAGATTGTATGTGCATATTTCATCATTTCTTAAAAACAATTCAGCAGAGACAGTGCTTACTTATAAAAACAATACAGCAGAGTAAGGGTTAATTTTCCTACTAACAATGATCGGGAGACCCGGGATCGCGACTTGCGTCCGACGTATTATAATTAATTATTTTTAAAAAGCATTGGCCTATACGGTAAAAATGTTTAAGTATATGTTTCATGTAAAATTATATTTTTTTCTAAACTGAGCACCATGAAAATAACATGCATGTACATGTATCTATAGTCTAACTGTGCCTGCATAAAAGGTTTTTCTGTATGCAATTCTCAAAAAAAAGATCTGACTAGACCATAAACCAAACAGACAAAGTCAAAATGTAGATCTAGAATATTTTGACTTTCACATATTAAACATTTTAAATGTGAAATTGTCTTATTATATCAAATATTAAATGTATGATTTTTTTATTTAAATTCATAATTTATTCTTTTTTAAAATTTTAGTTCAAGATTCGTCGTATGTGATATTTTTCAAACATGCAAAATATATAGTTGTTAAATAAAATTCAAGATGATCAAAATGTTTTTTTTTTTCATTTAACTTCAGTTTCTTCTCAGTTTATGGTCACCTCAGAGCAGTACAAATGTATTTCAATTTCCTATTTTGTTTTATGTGTGAAAATTTAATAATTTATGTTTAATAGAATATATTTTCTAAATTTGATATTGGTTGACAGATTGACAGTATATAAATATTGCATGTAGTTGAGTGTAACATTGAAAATTTTCACCCCAAGAAAACAATTGTCAACCGAGGCGCAGCTGAGGTTGACAATGGTTTTCGAGGAGTGAAAATTTTTAATGTTACACTCAACTATATGCAATATTTATTATATTATACTGAATGTTTTATACAAATACATATTACAGTGAACCGTGCACGCATAAATTCCGCGCAGTCACTATTTTTTGTAATACCACCCATCGTCAAGCAATGTTGACTGTTGCTACGCAGGAGGGCATGGCTTCATTATTCAGCGGGTAGTAGTGCTTTTTATCAAATGTTTCTCAACGAATCAGATTCAAGTAATTTACATGAAAGTATAATATTAATAAATATTGTAGTGAGGTCACACATGTTCCTAAGATCTTACAAAACATGCAAGAGAAATTCAGAATTCACAGTATTTACACTATTTACAACTCATTCTTGAGTAAAGCAAGTTTGTATTTGACCTTGGCATTGGATCTTGAATCTTAATCAGTGTCTGATTGAAAAATATTAAAATGCTCCACACATGTTCCTTAGATCTTATAAACATGCATAAGAATTCACAGTATGTATAACACATTCTTGAGTAACCTTTTATTTGACCTTGACACATGATCTTAAAATTATCAGTGTTTAAATGAGAAAAAAAAACTTTATCAAGTGCACAATATTTTTATTCAAGGTGATTCCTCGACAATGTTTAACAATTGAATATTCCATTACCATGAGACAAAGTCATTAAAAGTATCCATGTACAGCATTTATGAATTTTAATTCAAAGATCACAGATACATGTACATGAACTTTGTTTAAATTTAAGTTTATCAATGTTTTATTCGACGCTCATATTGAAATTCAAATGTCAGAGTTATTGTCAGAGAGATGGTCATAAACTGAACAGTTCCACAAATGTCAACATTGCACAGAAAACATACACTGATCTCCTTATTAAAAGCACCATGATTTCAGTCTTAGGAATCTTTGACACTGGTTTGAACATCTTTCATCATTTACTCTAACAGCATATGGCATGAACTGCATTCTGCACAGCTGCAAATCTGCAGGGTTTCCTGAAAAAAAAAATCACATAATTATAGGCATGTAGATTGTA